AGATGTGTATAAGAGACCTGTAGTATCCTATTTACGTATATCATGTACTTATTTCCACCAAAATGTCAATATTTAATGCTCTTTGTAACTTGAAAATGAATGTTCGTTACATTCGAAACGTCGTTAATAAACTAAAACTACTTCCCGATATATGCCTTTCGATCTACCAATGTCATCTGAAGAATTGTCCGACTCTTTGATAATTTAAATCAACGAATTCTCTAGTCGTTAATCGCACGCGTATAATATGTATATTTATATATAAAAAGTCCCATTTATAGCCTATTATTCACGTTAAATTGAACATAAATAGGTCTAAAGACGCGTGCTGGTACCTTGAATGCAAATAATTAGCAATGGGAAAGCTTGGGCTACAATATCAAGACTTTTTGTGCATATTCTTCTGCTTTCAATGAATTTTACTCTATTTGGCTCCCCTGAACAATTTAAAAATCCAAAAAAACGCCGTCTTAAAAAAATTATAACTCCAACAGTTTTCAAGCTACGGCAATGAGATTTGTAAAAACAATACCTAGCGAATCTAGAAGCATTTTTTTAATATGTGCATAATTTGACCTATATATGGGAGGGGGAGGAAGGTGGGGGGGTAAAAATGTGAAAAAAATGGGAAGAACGCGAAAGAAACGATGAGGAAAATAAAAAATCGGGGCTCTACAGTCGCTAGATATTGTTGTTACAATTCGAATGATATGTGTCTCGACATTGCAGCATGTGATTTGCCAAAGTTATAAAAAATTTTATTTAGAGTACCCATTATTTGCCGTTTTCTATTTTTTAATTCCACGTTTTCTTTCATTTTTTCTTGAATTTACATGAACAAAAAGGTCTTAGATTTCTGTTTTACATATGTGTAGCAAATTTCAAAACGATCCGTCCGTAAACAAAAAAAAATTGTTGGAGGGTAGCCGGTCCCCTTAAGTAAAATCTAAAGGCTTTATCAATAAATGTAGCGGTAGCGCTGTAGCGGCAAAACCTCGTATCGCTACTTAAATATGTAGCGGGCGCTACCGCTACCGCTACATTGCCTTAAATGTAGAGCCGCTACCTCTACCGCTACTGAAAATGTAGCGGCCGCTACATGTAGCGCGCTACTGCCCACCTCTGACTATAAAATAGCGGTGTCAACGTTAATCAGGACGTTAGACCTGTCGCCAATTTTTAACATCGCAGAATATTCACAGATTATTTCGGGTCTCGAACATGCAACTCACTGCTTTGATCTTTCTGGGCTTAACTGCCCATCCACCTCGCCGATTTGACTAAAACTGAAACCACTGGGCCTGTTGGCCACCCTTTCCTTATCCGCTTTAATTGGGCTACCTAAAAAGCGTGCAGCGTTCGTGTCGCTCGTAATTTGTTTGATTCTTGTTTATTTATCACCTTCATCTCTATCAATTTTAAAATTTATCCTTCCATAAGACTACATTTTTCTGGACATTATGTGCTACATCTTACCTCTTTCTATCATTTCTAGTTGCTCTGCACTCGCATATGCATTATATATATAGGCTAGACATGCAGAGCAGAAAACAAGAAAGAATTTACTGATGAAATCCGCTGCAAAGGATGGGTTATCGCACTGTCCCGTTGCCGGCGGTGGGAGAGAGTCAGCTGCGTTCGTACGGTA